AAGGAAGGAAGGAAGGAAGGAAGGAAGGAAGGAAGGAAGGAAAAAAGAAGGAAAGAAAGAAAGAAACTAAAGCTCAGAGAGTTTAAATAACTTGCCCTTGGTCACAGTGGTGAGTGGGTGGCAGAAGTAGGAAGTGACCTCAGGTGTGTATAAGACTCATAAACTTTCCACTATGCACACTCCTAATAAATAGATGTAATATTTTGTGCACATCATAACTAAAGAACTAAATATAGCTAATCTAGTAGGAAAATGAATAAGCAGTAATGAGTACTCCTTGATGATAAAACATCTTTAGAAAGCATTGGCTATCCAAAAGGACACATCAGGAAGCACTTCTCTCTGTAGTTCCTTAATAAACTCCAAGTCATTTCTCATTTTGTGCCTTGCTCATGAGGTTCACTTACTAGAAAGGCTATCTCTCCTCTACCATCATCTTTACCTGGCAGGCTTTTGCTTCTCCTTCTGTATTCACACCATTACTCCTACAAGTCTAGGAACCCTTCCCTGTACACCACTCCACCCCCCCCCCCCCCCCCAACTGTACACGCTATTTACCCTGTTTACCCTCTTCATACCCTGCATAGATCTCTACCAGTCCTAACTATATTGATCTCACATTTCATCATACCACATAAGCTCACAAAAGGAAAAAGCATATATATTTTAATGATTTTATGGCCACTACAGTTCCTGGAAAAATAGCATATGGTAAAAATAAGGTGTCAGGGAGGGAGAAGAGCTACAGAATTGAAATAAGTAATATAGAAAAGGGATTTAAAGAAAAACTTTCCACGTGCTGTCAGAGTGACTGACAAAGAACTGGCAAATTTGGGAAAGGCTCCATTCTCTGAAGGGTTTTCTATCAGAAACTACCAGAGTCTGCCTAGGGACTGCAGGATTTAGGATCCCATCTGAGTTTGAATTAAACTCCAAGGGGAAGATTCAAAATCGTCAGATGCTCTATGAGAACTTGGCATGAGGAAGACAGGAAGTAGCTCTTATTTCTTAGCAAATATCCTCCAAACAAGAAAAATTTAGCAGGGATCAGATATAATTATTTTGTACTCTGCCATGAAAATGCTTCTATTTTTAAATTTTTATCTAGTTGCCAATTTAGATAGCTAACATTACATTGAATCTTTTTCAGTTACGACCTTTTGTAAATCTATTAAGATTCATTGCAGTCTGATTCTGGAATATATCAGTGAACATCAAATTAACTAGTGTTATTTCACAGTGAATTCATAAAATATCTATGAAAAATGACGAATGTGACCTATGCATATTTATTGCTGTCTGTATGCAAACCTGAGGAATCTGCTCCAAATTTTCCCAATGATTCTCAGAAAACCTACACAGGCCTATATACTACTTTCATTTTTAAAAGAAATTCAAGCCGATGGTAATGCTTCACTCTTTCAGAAACATCTGTAGTTTTACCAACATTTTTAAAACAGAATAATCCAACCTAAGCCTGATTTAAAATGTCCTAGAATAAAGCTCTGTACATTTCAGAGGCAGTTAGTTACATGTTTGGTTTTCATTTTATGTTTTTAAAATATCAAAAACTATAGGATTAATTTTATATAGAATTATAATTCAAATATGTGTTTAAATAACACAAAACAAAGATTATTTCTGTCCTAAAATGAATCCTGCTATCAATATTACAATAATTGTTACAACATTTTTAGGTAATATATTAAGAGAATCAGAAACAGTGAAAAAACCCAATTTTTTTATGCTAAAAAATAAGATAAACATCACAGGTAACTGATAAAATAGAATTCTATATCTGAATATCTTAAAGTTCTGCTAATTTAGTATATAACTGAAATCAATACAAAGCAAATAAATGGAAACTTTCTTTTCTAGAACATCATACACTTAAACATTACTTTTCTCCATTGTAAGGCTGTGTATATATACCTTACCTTTCTTAATCTTAGAACAATCATACAAGGAAAGAGAACAGATATTATGATCCCATTACATAGACAAGGAATTTCAAGTTCAGAAAGCTTAGGCCAAAGTCCAACAGCTACAAAATGTCATAACTTGAAATAGTGTCAAATTATCTATTCTAGCTTAATTAAGCCTTTTCCCTACTAGATTTATGTTAGTCTTTGTGATACAGAAAATGTGTTTTATCTTTGATTTCCTGAAACTGAAAATATTAAATTTTGTCTCTAACAGATTTGAACATTGTTCCTTGCTTTAAAAATTCACAAAACTCTAATTCTGTATTCAATTGCATATGCAAGGATTAAGGGATTTAGTTTTGTTTGTTTCTCTGTTTTTAACTTATTTTTGCCTATTTTTATATTTGATCAAGTATATAGAAATAAATCATAGTCATACCATATAAAAAATTTAAGAAATGGAGGTTCCTCCTATTTTCAAGCATACTTTGTCTGCTGAAAATAGGTTCCACTAACATAGAGTACATTTTATTTTATATCTATGAGCATGGGTTTGTGGGTTTGGAACTCAACAGACTTAATTTCAACCCAGACTTGGCCACCACATAACAAGCTGTGTGACTTAGGCTAAGTCACAGTTTTTGAACTGCAGGGAAAATGTGAGAGGTATCTAAAAGAATGAGGATTAGAACACAGATTAAAATTTGAAGTTCATTTATTGCTAAAGAATCAATATAACTATAGTTTGATTATATTGACATGAGCTGATAAAAGCTTATCTAGGCTGGGCACAGTAGCTCATGCCTGTAATCCCAACACTTTGTGAGGCCGAGGTGGGAGGATCACTTGAGGTTAGGTGTTCAAGACCAGCCTGGCTAAAATGGTGAAATCCCCATCCCTACTAAAAATACAAAAAAATTAGCTGAACATGTTGCTACATGTCTGTAGTCTCATCTATTCGGGAGGCTGAGGCAGGAGAGTCGCTTGAACTGGGGAGGCGGAGGTTGCAGTGAACCGAGATTGTGCCACCGCACTCCATCCTGGGTGACAGAGTGAGACTCCATCTCAGAAAAAAAGAGTTTATCTAGGACATTGTCAGACTCAGATCACGAGTCAATCTAAATACCTGCCAGAATTTGATACAAATCTGGTTTATAGCAAAATAGTACTCCCCAGAGGGACTACTGTTAACAGTTTTTATCCTATAACCTTTGTCTTTTCTTAAATGGACATATCCTGTAAACTTTGTTTTTTCTTAAAAGAACATATCTAGATTTAGAACAGAAAGCACACTACCTTTCACATAATAATATAATAATAATCATTTTGAGTAACAACCAATGAATAAGAATATGAAGGTTATTTTTAGAAAATATTTGTCATAGACAACTATATATATTAAGTATCATAACACTGTACCATATATTAATAAAATATTTTTGAATGTTAAAACTCAAACCACAGATAGTTTTCTTTCCATTTTCTAAGTATAAAAATTTAAATGTGAAGTACTAATAGGTAACAATAAGAGGAGGAAGAAATTGAAAATGTATAAAATTACCTGTGCAACTGCTCTACATGCTAAAAATGTTTTAAAATCAAACCAAAACAACCTTCAAGGCACAGAGTAAATCATGTATCTCACTATAGGATAGAAGCTAAACTAGAGCCAAAAGATGTGATTTACTGCTAGCATTTCCAGATTCCCCCACATCCTTCACTACACTGTATGATGGTAGGATTTCATCTGGTAAGTGTTCTAAATTCTCACCTAAACTTTTTTCCCACCTAGAATGATATTATCTTTCAAATTACACTCTAGAAGAATTCATCACTCTGACAATGTATCATTAATCAAAGTAAAGAGGGTTGATATTTTATAGCATTTTGGAATGGATGGCACCTTGTGGAAGTTAAAGTCCAAGAATAAAAGTTTTAGTTTAGTTAGAAAAATGATACACTTTATGGTAGAGTCAGTGCTTCAAAACTCTAACTACCATCATCATCCAAAACTCTGGCTGTCCAGCAATAAATATTAATAATCATGTTGACATAGCCATGTCACCTTAAGTGATCCAGAAGTTCCAGATCAAAAAAAAAAAAAAAAAAAAAAAAGTTCACACACAGTTTAGACCTATATTACTTTGCAAGTTTGAGGGGGAAAAGAGTGAGGATGTCTCCTTTCCTATTGTTAACTTGCATTGATTTTCCAGTCACAAAATTTTAGAAGAGATTTATTGTAACCACAGCCTTGAATTAAAAACTGAAAACTCTAAACTCTGCAGAAGAGTTCTGTTATTTCATTTGAGTTTGTTAGACAAAGTGATATACAGGTAGAGACAGAAACACACATATAGACACAGAGAGAAAAAATTGTGTTATAGCAGCACTCAAGTAACATAAACTCATTGGTTGCAGTGATTGTTCAATATGATTGGAACTTGGAAGGCTTTATTTA